AATGTGTAGCAAAATATATGTGAATTTGTATACATGCAAATCCTGCTCAAAGATTTTGTGAAGTTAAAGGTGCATGGACACAAATTTGAAATATAATATTAAAGTTTCATGAAAAATATTTTAGAAATCAATTTTTTTAAACATTCATTGTTTAGACGGGTTTGATTGGCACATTTTTGCACTCTCACAAATTTTAATTTAATTCTTAATACTTAGGAAAAGTGGTATTCTTGGTGTGTATAAATAAAACATTTTGAAACTATAATTCAGAAAATTCAGAGTAGAAATGTTCGGAAGCAAAATAAACAAAAAGTCTGATAAAATGCGATTTTAACCCCACTCCAGCAAACCGGGGAAAATGTTCCGTTTATCGCTCGAGTTTCCTTGGTCATATCATTCCACAGAGCTCGCGGTTGGCATGTGTATAATTCTTCCGTTAATAAATGCTTTTATAACCATGGTAACAGTTAAATTTTCTATGAACAAGTCTTCAAAGTTTGTTGATTCGATTAAAAAGTGCTTAACAGATGTGTTTACTGCGGATCTCTTCTCAGTGGCGATAAAGGAATGAATGTCCATTATTTGCGGTGAAAACTGGGGAAATTCTTATTTATAAATTGGTCTCTGCAAAGACGATGTTTTTCTTCTTTATTTAAAATGTTAAAGAGGATGTGGTGCATGAAAAACATATCTCATTTATAATTACATGTATTACATTCTGAAAGTTGGTACATTTCAAAGGCCTTTGCCAATATTGCAAGCAGTTAGAAAAGTATTCAGTTAGGCCTATAGGATTTCCTTCAAGCACCTTACAAAAATAGAGATTGGTACTGGATTCAGGTCCACGCATTGTATGGAGTATTGTTTTGGACATAAAAACACATCATGGAAATGAATGTCATAAACTGTCATACATCTTAATGTCATATTTATGTCAAATGTTTTTTTTTTTTAAATGGACTTTTTGAATATTTATTTTGAAATTACATCATCAACTACTAGAAAACCTTTTCTGTTTGTTAACATAAAGAATTTCATTCCTCATCCATCAAATTCTTTGATGTAGAACGGAACTCGTTAATTTACAAACTTTTTATCTTCATTTGCATTATTTTAATATATTCTTTTAAAAATCTTATTGTACACACAAGTACTCTGAAGTTGACATCAAAATATATTCCAAATTTAAAGGAGTCATTATATATAATGTCATAATTTCTTATTTATCACTATATATTTGGTTAAATGATCAAAAAGTAACAAAATATTTTGTGTTTCATACAACTATTTTCAAATTGATAAAATTTGAATTTCTCTCTTACAGGATATGGTCCACATCGAACTTTAAATTAATAAAAATACACGTATCAGAGGAACTGCTTCCTTCTCCAAGTCCACAATGACATGCCATCGCTCCTACATTTTTCAGCACTTCTTACTGTCTAGAGGAAACTGAATTTTGTGACGTCTGCTGTTCGTTAAAGCTTTAAACAAACCAAACTAATTCTTATAGTATGGAAGTGGATTACTTACAGACGGTTACAGATGAAAACAAATTATGCATGTGTTGCCCAGTGAAAGAATTCCTGAAGTTACATGTAATAAACTTGATAAATTTTTTTATAGATATGAGGAACAACTGCTTGCTAAGCTGATTAAAATTAAAGCCAGAGTTAAAAAAAATAATATATGTTTAAGCATAAAATTATGCATATTAACGTGTTATTTAAAATTCTTTTTCATAAATCCATGTTTGAATGTTCATTGAATAAAACTCAAAATGTAAACGATTGTTATATTTTCAGTTGTCTTACAGGAAGACAATGAAACATTCCAAGTGTTTAGTTTGTAAACATGTTTCTTCTCATGTTTATTAAAGTGTTTAAATTTTTAACATGTAAGTGTTTAGGCTCTAAACTATTTCCATACACGTAATGAGAAACAATGTGTTCAGAATTTCAACTCACGGAAGTGACAAGAATGTGCTTAAGAAAGTTTGTATCATCTAAACCATTTTTAGCCGGGCTTATTGCTCAAAGAGCAATTGCCGGCTTATGTGATCCTGTTCAAGGCAGGATGTTGACCCCATAGTCGCCATTTTAAAGTTACGTGCAAAAATAATTCTTACTCTCAACCGCTTTTGAGATAATACAAACGCCAAATAAAGCAACAAAAATAAAATGAAGTTTTATCTATATAAAATAAACATTAGTAGTAATGACTTTGAAAACTTCATAAGTCAAAGAACATAGTTCATTAGCGTAAGGATTTTTGAAAATCAGTGTTACCGTAGTTCTCTACACATATGAGGTAAAGCAGGAGAGGGAACAAGACTTTCCTGTTTGTTTACATTCAGCTGCGGTAGCAGATTAATTCTGATTCTGACAAAATCGGACCGTGGTATTAGGATTGAAAAACTCACTGTCAGTGTTTTATCATTTATATTGATAGTTTTAAAAAAATCATCAGAATATAAAAGTGATTCGTGTCAGAAATCCATTCTACTCTGTAAATGAGCCCGGCTTTCTGTACTTCTGAGTACTTTGATTACAGAGTGGTTTTAATTAGATGTGAATACTTCAAAATTTCAAGGAACTTTTGAACGATTTTAAATCACAAGATTCTATCAAAATCAACATCTTAAAAACTTACGACTTTTCAACTTATACGCCGCCATTCCCAACGATAAATTAAAGTCCTGGCTTTTTTTATATCAAACTTTAAATATCTCAACCCCCTTTTCTGTTTATTTGAATTTTACTCCCAATACATAAAATTCATTTGATTTAATATACTAACAAACAAAAGGACTTATACCGGTATAGTTTTGATTTAATCGACCGGGCGAAATACAAGAAACCTGAAGAACGCCATAACAAACAGATAAAAGTGAACACCTTAAAATATTTTATATGCGAAAATAAAATAAAGATCCTTAAATTAGCAAAATCCAAATCAGGACAAGCCGATGATCTTATACATATATCTGAACATAACTTTACCGACTGATTTTCCTGAGCAGTAAACGATCTCAACCTACCTGTTCTGTTTGTTTGAATTTCATTCCTTATTCATCAAATTCTTTGATATAGAACGGAACTCGTTAATTTACAAACTTTTTATTCTTCATTTGCATTATTTTGTTATAAAAATCTTATCGTACACACAAGTACTCTGAAGTTGACATCAAAAAGTGCCTGACTTTCTGATTCACAATTTATATCATATCTATGTTGTTTTAGGAGAATAGGTCTTCCAACAATCTATAAGAATTCCGATACGTTATTAGCAGACCAATTTTTGTTTTCATATGAAGTAGAATTTATGCAAAATCTTATGCGTGAAAAGAAAAAAAACATTTGCTGTGGCACGCAACGCGACAATTAGATAGATCGACGTTGTATTGTCAATTACCAATGATAATTTCCATTCATGTGTCAATATATCTTTTGGGCTTGAGATAAATATAGGATCTCCCATGGTTTGTGGTCGGATATGATTTTTATTCAACGAGTTGGATAAAAATCATATCCAACCTCAAACCATAGGAGATTTTTTTATCACACATATATATATATCACATTTTTATTCTGTTCACTATCAATCCACATTTTGTGTTTATTTCTATATTTAAAGTTCCCTCTAGATTACCTCGGATCAAATAACAAACGTAACATACGTAAATAATATTACTTTTTTGCCAAGGAAACTTCGCGCACTTTAACAAATTCTATGCTTGTAACAATCTGAAATCCATACTTCATTTTACGTAAATATCTATCAAAGCTGCTCATAAAAGATCGCAATGTGTTTGGTTCATAATTTGAGCCATCAGGCTTGCGGACACTCAAGAAAAATTTAGACACGATGCATATAAAATCAATTCTAATGGAGGGATTGTTTCCATGGGCTTGTTTTCATTTAAGTCAAAAAAGAAATGATTTAAGCAAATTCACGTCAATGTATTTTTTTCCATGTGTTTTTGCTTTCTTCCTCATTTATATATTTATCAAAATCTTTTTCATTTATTGATTCAAAACGTGATCCAGACATCGTCTGCTGCGAGACAGGTCTCTCAATTTTGAGACGGTAACTTGGAAATGGCAATGTCAGACCTGTTCCCTCAATCTCAACTTCATGAATAATTTTACCATTTTCAAATTAAGAAGATTTCACCAAACCTGAGCCACCTCCATCAATTTTTATAATTGAATTATTTGGAATCCTTCTCTTCATCACGCACATGCATTTGTTTATTTACATTACGTCATGCGGCGTAGGAATACATAGTGTGGATACGAAAATGATATCCAATGAGCTATATCCACTGGATAAAGCACTAAATATGTGATAAAAGATCCTTCCGAGTCTGATTCATTTGTTTCACATTTGGATATTTTACCTGAAAAAGACGTTTATGGTAATCTAACGACCAAGCTTTATGATAAACTTGATTACTTTAATATTTCTATCGTCACTTACTTATGCAACAATATACTTTTATCACCTGCATACAAAATTTGTATATCTCAGTTGATTCGATACACAAGAGCATGCTCTACGAATGAAAAATTTTCTAAAACGAGTTAAATTATTGACAAACAACTTGGTGAAACAAGAATATAAGTAGTCTCGTTTTCTTGCACATGTATATACTTTGTTGAAGTATAGCTAAATAGCATATGAATTATTTGCTTCAGGAATTCTTGTGGGTGACGTTTATAAAATATTTGGGGATTATGGGATACATCACGTAAAAAGGAATGTGTCTGTATGTTGCTGATTTGCATCCGACTGCAGGATGTAGAAACCAGTTCGAATGAGAATATATCTACTGAAGTCTTCTGAGGTACCTGGCATAAGATGTTTGCACAAAAAAAAGAGAAACTATTTCTTATTGAATAATGACCGTAATTGTCAGGTGATAACTAAATTTGTAGCATTTCAATGGACGCCCTTCATGTGAAAGATTGAAAATAAACTTTATCTTTTTATACATGTACAGTTTATTCAAAGACATTCTTATGCTGACAAATTTTCTACGTTAATACATATTAACACAAACATATTAAAAATTTAGAAAGTGACAATTCAGAGCAGAATCCCAGAGAAAGTTGCAGTTGGATTATTATTGTCTGCGTAGAGGCGATTTGATGCTGAATATCCAGCTACCCAAACTAAGTCTCCTTTGATTAACTCAAGAATGACCATGTTAGAAGCCGATGAATAATTATCATTAACACCACCACGTGCACCAATGACAACTTGAGATACTCCGTTTTTATTAATTTTAACCCATGAGTTGGCGGTAGTTTCTGACATGATAGAACAAAAGAATAAATATTTCCCATTTACCGGGGCCATAAATACCCCCATACTTGGATTATATGCATTTCCTTTATTTGTTATAACATGCGGAAATATAACTCTTTCATTACTTTTAAATGTTGTGGTAGTTGTAATCCCCGCTGTAAACACCACTTCTGTAAAGGGTGACTCTGCAATAAAAGTATAAAAAGGTCGTTATGTTACTTCTAAACTTATTATCTCAATCTTTAATTTTTCTGTATATAGTGGAGGTGTGGGTGGGGTGGTGGGGAGAGTTTTGATTGTGTGGGTGTGTGTGTGTCTGCGTAGCCGAGTCGGGTAGTTTGTCTTTTTATGCTTAACAAAAAGTGTCGTAAATTGCGTCGAGATCAACATCGGAAAACTGTATCAGTGTTATAGCTATTCCTAAAAGAGATATTACTTATAACCATGTATTTGTTTTAATTTGATCTGACATGTCGTCATGCAGACGAAGGATCCTTCAAACGAAGATTTTTGCATAGAATCGATTATAACAGGGTGTAAGATAAACGTAGATTCTGATATCTTGTTATATTTGCATACACACTGCTTTCTCCCACTATGAACCTGCGGTCTTCAATTGTGTTCATTGGACTATAGACGCAACTGCAATTCCTATATTTCACTCATGTGAAGTGCAAGCTCTAAGCGTTCAGAAATATATATATATATATATATATATATATATATATATATATATATATATATATATATATATATATATATATGAAATGTTTAGCAAATGGAATAAATATAATTAAGTTTTTAATAATATTATTTAGAAAAAAAAATTTAGAATAATCTAAAAATGCTGATTTATATTTTTAAAAATTTAATTTTTGTCAATGTTTTTAATTGTATAATAAAACTTTTTTACAAATTGAAGAAAACTGCCAAAGTTTACTTTTTGTAATCATATTTTTGTATATTTATACAAAGAACAATAACTCTTTACACTTAGGCGTTTTAACATTCAGAAAATGCAGCATCTCCTTAATAGTACATGTATATCTATTTCAAGAAGTATTTCGGCTCTAAAAATAAATAAAAGATCTTTAATAAATTAAATAGAAAGCATTCTGGATTCATACTCTTTATTAACGCTTTGTCTTTTTTCATCAAAGTGATAAATTATTGGTATTTGTCATGCGGTTTCAATAACGTTGATTGATGACGTCACGACTGCATCAAAGAAAATGGGATGATTGCTGGCCATTCAATGACAAAGGATAAGGTTCACAAATCAATGATTAATTAGCCAAAAGATCTATAAACAATGCAAATATTTATTTTTGAGTAGTTCTACCCTTTTAAAGATTTTTCTTTAGCTTTGGAAAATGTCTACGAATTAATTTAACTTGTTAATGACACGTTGGAAAATGACATGTCTGTAAAAGTAATTTGGAGATGGTTTCAAAAGTAACATCATTTTTAGAAGAAAATAAATTGAAAAGTATTTCTAATTGAAATGATTTAAAATTAATTCGATATAGAAACACCATTTATATTTTTTAATCTCATTTATACTATATTTTTCAAATTATAAACATGTATATTTATACTTTGCAGCTTACTTACCAGTCCTTTTTGACCACTGCAGCTTAGACTCTTTAAGGTCCTCATGAGCTTTTTCAAGAGATTTATTAACAGAGGCAGATAAAATACTTAACATGTCTTCTGTTCCAGCGAGCCGGTCAACTATATTATTTACACTAATTGTTTGTAAGGTCTCATTCATCTGATTTAACTTTTCATCCAAACTCTTCAATTCTCGCTTAAGTTCCAAGTTTTCCGCCTTAATTTTCTGGTCTTTTAACTCCAGATCCTGTATTTCACTTATAACACTCCCGAGCTTTGTCTGTAGAATTTTCTGATCGTTTTTATTGTCCATGGCATCCATAACCAAGCCTTGGATTTTTTGTACCATAGAGAAGCGGACAAGGCTCTCCTGATTCAGAATTTCCCTTAAGACATTGGACGCTTTATCAGATTCAGTACTAGGTACCAAACCGTTTTTATCAGATGTCTTGTTCTGAATTAAGGACACCTGCCCAAATGTTTCATACATGCACAAGGAAAGTATGAGACAAGGTAAGTATAAAGATCCCATCACTGTGGTTAACGTGTTTTCTTCAAATAGCAACTGTTTCGATTCATAGGCTGGAAAAAAAATAGCACTAGTTCTTCGGCATCTTTACAGTAACTGTTATATAATGCACACGGGAAATATTTCTACTGAAATCTGAAATTTTGATTGGTTGTCAGTGAACTATGCTCAAACACAATAATGTTTATTACAGATGATGCGCTTTCCAGACACTTTTCAATTTTTGCATTTATTGATAATAATATATGCAGGCATGTTTCCGTTTAAACAATAAGAACATTTAACTGATACTGGACAAAGAGAAAAAACTTAAATATTCTAATCTGTCTTTCTATTCGGTCGGTCTATTTTTGGTTTCTATTCATGTTTCATCCACTGAATACTGATATTTTACAACAAAGATACCTTTTTTATCAACGCTAAAGATTCATTTAAGGAATAACTGTTTTATTTTTCTATTTCATGTGATCAAAATCGATCGGCTTGCGTGATAATTTGCATAAACGCCTGCATAAAGTTATCACGCAACTCAATCGATTTATCATCGTCATGAAATCGAAATCGAAAAATCCGACTGTCGGCCCAGGAACTGTTAGAATAGACTGAAAACAAGAGGTTCATAGGCCACATCGGTCACCTGAGCACTGCGGCCAGGATAAAAGGCAAAACTCAATCCACTTTTCAAAACTTAAATGCATGTGGTCCCAACTTACCCCTAAAATGCAGGTAGGGGATTATTTGAATTAATTTGAATCTTCAAAGAATGCATACATTTTTACTAGTACTTGACAAACGCTTGCTCTTTTCCCTATAAGTTTGAACTTTCATCTCTGCAGATGATAGTGTAGCCAATCTAACTAAAATTAAATGTTAGATCTGTTTGCATACTTGCTACACTAACATCTAACAACATCCCGTTAGAGGTCAAAATCTATCAACTAATCAAATTATCGCTGGCAAAATCATCGGATATTTGTTGAAGTAAACGAAGCGAATAAGTCTAGAGTTGTTCCGAATTTGACCTCTGACGTGACCCTCTATGAGATGTTGTTAGATGTTAGTGTAGAAGGATATGGAGATAACGAACAGTATTCAATCTTAGAGTCCATAAAACAATACAAAATAAGAGCAGAGCAAACACGGACCCCCGAAACATCAGAGATGGGATCAGGTGCTATGGAGGAATGAGTATCCTCTGCCGACCGGTCTCACCCGCCGTGTGCTCCTTGTCATGATCAGGAAATAACGGAAAAAATCCGTCGTCAATTCAGTGTATAAATAATGGACTTACAATTGGTATGAAAAACGTCAGTCAGCATTTGACTCAGTGATAAATTGTATTTTCTGACAAGGTTATTGTATCGACCATAGAACTTACCAAATGATGACTTTAAACGAGACTGCTGATATTCTTGTTTCATCAACTTGCTTGTCAATAATTTACCTCGTTTTAGGAATTGTTCATACGTAGAGCATGCTCTTGCGTATTGAATCAACTGAGATATATATACTCCGTATGCAGGTGATGAAGGTATATTGCTGCATATGTAAGAGAAGTTGACGATAGAGATGTTAAAGTCATCACGTTTATCATATAGCTTTGTTGTTAGATCACCATTAGTGTCTTTTTCAAGTAAAATATCCAAGTATGAAACAGAAGTGTCGGACTCTGTGGTATCTTTTATCTCAAGCTCACCAGGATATATCGTATCGACGTAGAAATGGAAACAGCGTGTTTTCTTCTTTTCACGCATAAGATTTTGCATAAATTCTGCTTCATATGAATATAAAAATAAGTCTGCTAATAACGGAGCACTATTTGTACCCATGGGAATTCCAATAGATTGTTGGAATACCTGGTCTCCAAAAACCACATAGATATTGACAATCAGAAACTCAAGCATCTTCTTGATGTCAACTTCAGAGTACTTAAGTGTGCAATCAGAATCTGTTTTGAGAAAATAATTTTGCAAATGACCAATGACGAGGTAAGTAAATTTACGAGTTCCATTCTTATTGAAGAAGCAGCTGTCAATGACATCAAAAAGTCTGGATTTTAATTTGTCGTGGGGAAATGTTGTGTATAAAGTTGAAAAGATTTTCAAGCTGTTGATTTTTGTAAAGTCTTGTGATTTCAAATTGTCCAAAAGTTCTTTAGAATTTTTTAGTATCCACATCTGATTCACACCACTTCTTGAATATATTGTTGCACAGTCCTCGTGAAGTTTTTCCTTCCCTACTGTCAATATCTTAGTGAGGAGTAACGAAAGAGGCTTGGTTGAACATTTACTAGAACCTGCAATGTATCTTTGTTTGTAAGGATTCTTATAATGAAGTTTCGGAATCCAATATATATAACGTAGTTCAGATTCATTTTGGTTCTGTGAAATGTTAAAAGTATTCAAAACTGACAGGTGATTTTGAAGAATTTATTCCTTAGAAAGGGAAATATGAGTATAAGTAGGATAAGCATAATTGTAGCAAGTATGCAAGCAGATCTAAAGTCTAATTTTAATTAGATTGTAGTGTAACAATTATGCGAGCGGATCTAACATTTAATTTTAATTAGATTGTATCCCCGCAGGTCATTATCTAAATATACTACCCTACTCCCATGGAGCGGTCTTTACGGGATATTACGAACTAAAATTTACACTACCTGAGGATGCCTCCGTATAATTTCATATTTTCTGGCTCAGAGATTCTTTCTTTAAAAAATTGGCTCCCATCAGCCACGTACCACAAATCTCGTGGCTAGACACTGATATGAGATTTAAGGTTTTTAAAGTCTATAAATATTAATTGCAAATCCGCCAGTGGCGGATTTAAGGGGGGCGCACCCGGCGCCCCCCCCCCCCCCTTAAAATTGTCAAAGGTAGCGTAAATCACAGTTTCGCCTAGAAAATGTAAATATGTCTACTTGATAGACCTCATTTTTACCCTACAAAATCTCTAGAACCCAGGAGCTTCCGGGGGCTTTGCCCCCTGGGGCCCCACCAGGGCTTTACCCTGGACCCACTGGGGGCCTCAAGGCGGCCCCCAGACCCCTTGCCTACTTTTGTCGCCCCCTCTAACTTCAATTCCTGGATCCGCACCTGATCATCGAAACCTATTTGCAAATCTTTTATACAAAATATCAGTTTCATGTAGTGTGGAGGAGAGAACATAACTATAATTCTTATATAGTTTGTTTAATTACACAATAGGTAATTTGAAAAATATTTAAATGCAATCCTTTTATATTTTTACAATGTGACGGTATTTGAAAAATTTTTAATACGCCATGGCACATATGGTAAACTTTTTCTAGTCGCTCGGTAATTTTGTGTAATGGGTGAAGTGAAGACTCTTAGCGTAGCAAACGTCTGAAAAAAGTGTCGGAAAGATATTTTCAAAAATTTATACTGGCAATATCAGCATTATCAGCATGTATTACCCTGTAGGGCTGATATGGATTTGCAGGGCTGATATAGGTTATCAGCTCTGCAGGGCTGATAGATCAATATCACACCTTAGTAAATAAATTAAACCACAAAAACAGTACTTGTGATCATACACAATTATTGGTAGGTTCATTTTCTCTTGATTTTAAATTTTTGAAAATAAGATTAATCTTAATTTACAAATACATGTAATATATTATTTTCAAATTACGGATCGAGTGCATTGAAGTAGAAGTAGAAACAAACCCAAATCGTATGAGACAATAGACCATGTAAATGTCTGTAAGAAGTCCATGCATGATTAGTTTACTTATTTTCTTCTCAACTTAATGTATGCTGTATTTTATTACTAAGTATGTAATAAACATCAGGGCTAGACAAATAGCACTGCCCGACGCCCGGGACAACCAGTTTTGGTTGGTGGGCTAGTAATTTGATAACAGGTGCTTGTCCGCGGACAAGTTGTTTTCCAATTAACAAAAAAAAAATTATACAATACTCAAATATCTTTTATGTTATCGCTTTTAAAGTATCATGAATCACAGCAAAGCACCTATTTTCACTGATGTTGACTACTGCACGTACATCGAAAAGTCGGAACTCCTCTAGAATTTACCCATTAACGTGTTGTGAAAATTAAATATGCAGATGTCGTAAAACATGGAGTTATCGATGTCGTCAAAGATGTGGTATGGGAATTTAGACATTTATTGTCAAAATACATGTATTAAATTCATACTATGAATACAGATGCTAGTGCTGTTCCCTGGCAGTAGTGTTTTGTTCACAGACACGTTTTGTTTGTAGGTTTTAAAAGATTGATCAGTGTCCGATATCTTCACCTTTTCCCATTAAATAAACACAACATTACTTTTTTAAAAAGTGAACATGTATTTTTTTGCAGAATTTTGAGGAAGAAAACTCCTTAAAATGTATCATTTTCATCTAAATTTTTCTGGGGAAGAATTTCGTTATTTTAGATCTATGATGGTCTTTGTGTATTGTTAAGGTGTCTCACTCAAGAAATAATTTAATATCAATGTTTCAATTCTATGTATTTTAAGAAAACGGTGGGACATCCTGTATCAGCCCGAGACAGCAATATCAGCCAGAGGGCAGAATAAACCTTTAAATATGATTTGAAGTTATCAGCGTACAAAATTTCAATATTGCAAGGAATGATTTTGACCTCTGCATTTGACAATCTCAGTCTTTGGGCTCTTTTCTGTAGGGGTTCTTAAAGAACAGGGTCTACAATCCTAGACCACAGATATTTAATGAGGTTAAAAAGAACATGGACCTTCAAATGAGGAGTTATGTGATAAGGTTTTATACAAATTTCAAGAAACACCTTTAGAAATCATTTGGAACATGTAATGGGAACTTTTAACGTTGTGAAATTCAACATATAGCAAAAATGACACAATTTGTAAATTTTGCCAATTTTCTTTAATGTTTAAGATTTTGATCAGTGTTTAAAATTTTAGTTGGTAATTAATTATGAATCTTAAAAATACGTTCATCAGTTTGATAAAAAGAATGATCAATATCTTTTTCTTGTGTTTGTCTAATTGAAGATTCAAAATGTAACAAATATTTTGAAA